ATTCATGAGCATTTTGAAAAGGCGTTTATAAAGCGTGTGGGGGTGATCGGCAAATGTTAAATGCGTTGTTTCTGTCTCTTATACACATCTAAAAACATAACTGACAACATGGTTTCGTACTTCTAGACACATTCTCTGTTCTCACTGTCCAATGCCATCAGAAGACGACGTCATTGTCCATTGTATTTCTCATATTTAACTACTATGTATTTTTAGAAACTTGGACGAGAACAATAAGAAAATAGTCATAAATTGTAGTATTCTCTAATTTATATATAAACTTAAAAATACTAAAATATAAATTATAGCATTCAAGAATTAAATAAAAGTCCACTTCGCCACAGAATTTGCAAATATTGTTTTTTAAATAAATGTTTTTTTTTTTTTGTGTGTTCAAAGTTGGTGATGCTGGTTGTGATATTAGTGATGATATTATTATAGTCATTACCATCCTCAACGACGTCGTCGTCGTTGTAGTTGTCATCATTATTAACATCATCTTCATTATTTTCATGATGGCGACGATTATGGTAATGTTAATGGTAATGGTGCTGCTGATGATGACGAAGATGATTATGAATATGATGATGATGATAATAAAAACGAAGATGAAGTCGATGCTAAGTAGTTTGATGTTATTGACTAGAACTTAAACGAGGTGCCGGAAATATTGTGGGCAGAATATCTACTTATTAAAAACAACGTTTGTAATTTCATGTGTTTTATTATACAGATATTGCCTGCTTAGAGGTGTAATATAACATTTGATATCCCCAAGGGAATTATATTTTTTTCGAGGGATTATATTTTCTCGAAGCGCGTAGCGCTGAGGGAAAATATAGTCCTGAGAAAAAAATATAATTCCCAAGGGGATATCAAATGTTATTATTACACCGATAGAAAAGGCAATATCTGTTATATTACATAGCCAGAAATAGATGCAAATAATTAACTGACCACATTAATTAATTAAAATATCAAGAACTTTTATTTAACTTTTACACAATATCTGTTATATTACATAGCCAAAATACTTCATATTACCGTCACTTTTTAAAAATGTTTCTGTAGTCCGTAGCGTAGCGTTATCATTGATCGTTTAGCGTACAATTCACCGTTTGCTAACAAAATAATAATTGATCGATTGGTCGTTTTATAACTTCCTTTAAACAGTGTAACAGTGCGTGGCTTTGTAGCTTAGTAAACGAATGATGATTGAATATTGGATCATCATTAATCCTCATAATTCCAATTGGCACTATCGTAATACATGTAGCTTAACAACCTTGGATAAGCATCAACAACTGTTTGCATTAGCCACAGACAATTGTTACAATAGTTAAAATGTTTTAAAACTTTTTATTATTTTTATTTTTCCTCATTCAACCTGGAAAATTGAAGATTTTCAAACATGTTCCTTAACCCGCCATCATTTCAGTGAGGATTATTCGAGGAACCAAGCGATCAGGCTCCGATTAAAACCCGATGCTAATTGGATTTGAACCAGGTTCTTTAGCAATTGAAGATCTAATACCGCTCAGACAACCGCTTACTTCATTCCATATGACCTATATTTTCCAGTAAATGCCTTAGCAGCAAAGAGATTATTATTATTAGAGGACCCTAATAGTCCAAAATATTGTAGCTAGACATACTATAAGAATTTCAGTATGATGGCAGGTTTATTAATAAGAATAATATCGCTTATTATTACTTCTGAAATAAATTAATAATGAATAAAAACAAAATTTTTAATTATAATATATATTTTATATTTCCTCATCCAGCTAGAAAAATTTGAGATTTTAAAATATGTTCCTTTACCCCTCCAAAATTTCAGTGAGGGTTATTCGAGGAACCGGAGCGATCAGGCTCCGAATAAAACTCGATGCTAATTGGATTTGAACAGGGTCTTCAGCACTTGAAGATCTAATATCTCTCGGACAACCGCTCACTTCATTCCATAATATGACCTATATTTTCCAGTAAATGCCTGAGCAGTAGAGAGATTATTATTAACCCTAATGTACCATCATTTTGCAGCAAATATTTATTTAGAATTTCAAGATGGATGACAGGTTTATTAAGAATACTACCGCTTATTAATATTACCAAATTAAATTAGTACAGTAATGAATAAAAACACTATTTATAATTATAATACTAATTTTTAATTATAGTAGGCCTAGAATCTGTTAATTGAGCAATGTTCTTTCTGACCTCAATGAAAGAGTTGTCAATTACAGTTTATGAACCAGAAGATAATGTTATTGATCCAAAATTGCTTTAGGAATTTGCTTTTCATTTGCTAAAAAAAATTAATAAGTTTACATCAAACGTGAAATAGTATGCAACTGTAGTTAAAACAATAGTATAATTGACAGATGCACAGAGAGCAAAACAAACTGTCTCTATTGACTTAATCTACAATATGGAAAGGTCTTGTATCAATGAAATACAGTCAGCTTTTTAAAGATGGATTTAACTATTAAATATTATTAGGAGATAAAAATAATGATAATGACATGATAATATTAGAGACTTACAAAATGAAAAAAAAACAGTTCAAACTATGAAACGATTTGTCCGTTTTCTTTATACTAACACTGTTTTGAGCCAAGTCCAACTCGAACCAAACCCAACTCGTTCCAAAAACAAATTTGGCCCACTTCTTCTTCAGTTATGTTGCCGCCTTCCTCTTATTGATGATTCTTCAACTGTCTACAACGCCATGCGTATCTGTGTTTGCCACCTTGAAACCATGTTGAACACTTCCGAACTATCACAAAACCAAATGTACCTATAATATTTATTATTATTATTCCATACATTTAGCCTGTCTCTTAGGATCAAATGTAAGAATTCGTGTAAATAATTTATGGAATTTCGTTTTCTCAAAGATGTTTCGACCTATACATTAAATGTTTGAGGATGCTAGAACATTTTTCATGGAGTTTTTTCGTTTATAGTCTTACTTATAGTTGACTGTATCTATATTTTTTTTTTTTTCATAGTTTTGCCTATTTCTTGCCAGACAACCAGTTGTCAAAATGGCGGGACGTGTGTTCCAAACAGTCTTATTGTTGTGGGATTCACATGTAACTGCAAGAGTTGTTACTCGGGAACGTACTGTGAAATATGTAAGTGTTGCAACCAAGAGTAAACAGTTTTATGTAAATACAAGTTTTGCTCGTGATAATATATTTTTTGTAATTTTAGTTTTTAATAGTATTTATTAGTTGCTGATTGACTGTAAGTTTACTTGTTGGTCTGGAATTGGCGCAATATAAATGAATTATAATAATAATAAAATAATAATAATAATTATTATTATTATTATTATTATTATTATTATTAATATTATAGTAATAATACATAATAATAATAGTTATTATTATTATTATTATTTATTTATTTAAAAATTGCACATGATTATAACATTATTTTTTAAAGTAAGTCTGTTTTTTTACAGATACAAATCCATGTAATTCACTTCAGTGTACCAATGGCTGTGTTGTGAGCGATCAGGACGACTGCATTGCATTGTGTATAAACTGCACTCCGTGTTATTCCGGCTACGAATGTCTAAACTGTAATTGTCATTTCATCCGCTTTTGCGATGCCTTATCTAATAAACTTACAGCAATCTTGTTGGATTAGCTAAGGTGTTTTTGCCCTATTTCAGTTAACCGTTACGTACATGTTTACAATTTGATAACTTCAGTATTTACTGTCATTTATTTATTTTTTAGATAATGATCCTTGCGGTGATATATATTGCTTCAATGGTGGGACTTGTATTTCTGAATCTGCCAGCGGAAAATGTAGATACAGATGTAAATGCATCGATGGCTTTTTTGGTACATTTTGCGAGCAAGGTAGGAAATCATAATTTTATTCAATTAATATTTCTATTTTTATTCAATAATTGAAATCATCAATGTTTTAATCTGCAAATACATTGCTTCAAATAATATTCACAAAGAATGTTGGTCTCTACCGCATAAAAACCTTCAAACAAAAACTGAACAAATTAGAGTTTATATAATTTCATTTTTTTTAAATTCAGTTTGGCCTAACTTTTGCCAGTCTGTCAGTTGTGAAAATGATGGTACGTGTGTTCCAAACAGTCCTATTGTCGGGGGATTTACATGTAACTGCAGGAGTTGTTACTCGGGAACGTACTGTGACTTATGTAAGTTGTGTAAACAGGTGTAGGCCTAGATACCAACAATTAGTATCTACTAGTTATTTGTTCGGGTTAAAATAATATTTTTGAACATGTTTTTCAGTTTAGTAGATAATGTACAGTACAATGATTTTTTTTTTGTCAATTTGGGATAAAAATCCTATTGCTAATGTTTACAATTGCCTTAATGCCATTGTTTTTTGCAGATACAAATCCGTGTACGTCACTTCAGTGTACTGATGGAACTGCGTGCGTTGTCAATCCTCAGGACAAGTGCAGCGCATCGTGTATCAATTGCCCGCCATGTTACTCCGGATACGCCTGTTCAACTTGTAAATTAACTTTCTATCAGGATTTCATTCAATTAAATTTAATTTTTATTATTGGCATTTTCATTCGATATAATTAATTAAAATTGTTGGTTCTTATTGGTCCGTATCTGGGCAAAGGTATGCAACACTTAACATGTGGGATGCATGCTACGTTAAGCATAATTTGAAAATAAAAAAGCATGTTTTATACATAGTAGATTTTATCATGTTGCCTCTTTAAGATAGGCCTATCTTAAGTTATATTGTAACGTTGTTGCAGAAAACTAAACATATTATGTTTTGTTTACAGATACAAATCCGTGTGCGTCAATTCAGTGTGCTAACGGAACTGCGTGCGTTGTCAACCCTCAAAACGAATGCAGTGCATCTTGTATCAACTGCCCGCAATGTTACTCTGGCTACGCCTGTTCAACTTGTAATTATACTTAATTATTTGCGTTTTCACTAGATATAATTGATTTTAAGTAGTAGTGATAAATCATAAATGTATATATTATAGATAAACAATTAGGTTTACTTATTTCAATCTATCAAGTTCATTGTTTATTTCACTGTCACTTAAGACATGTAGTAAAAAGTACATTTACTCTTGGAAAATCTGCACTACAGTATTATGTTAAAGACTGATGCATAAAATTGATACTACACTTGTTTATGAACCTGTCTGAGTGTGGATTCGTATTGGTCGGTATCTCATAGTTACCAACCTGAGAGATTTGGAATGCGTGGCTACACCAGTTTGGTGGGGTGGGGTGGGGGGGGAGCAGGGTCCCGGGGTCAGGGGCGAAACCCTGGAGGACCAGGTTCCAGTCACAAAATCAACGGTTGTTTGTGACATAATGAACGCGCAAGACCGCACGCGACTACTAAGTTTCTACTAAATTGATTCTCGAACGAGATAACGAAAGCTCTCTAATTACTCAAGCTACTGCGTGACCGTTTTTATATTTTAATAAAACCAATTTCTATTAATTTTAAATACATTTTCCCATTAATTCGTGATAATTCGTTATCACGCATAGACTTGTGCTAAATGCTTGACAAATTTCTAATGTTTCTCTAAAATGCGTGTTTTCATCATCAATTTGAAATGCGGGACCGTCCCGCATGATGCGAGACGGTTGGTAACTATGGTAGGCCTCGCCTATCTAGGCTAAGGTACGTAAAACTTTACCTACAGGATGCCGGTTATGTTATGCATAATTTGAATATAAACAATATAATATAAAACACATATTTACTTTGTAGATTTCATTATGTTTCCTCTTTAAGACATCTTAAGTTACATCATGGTTATCAACACTAATGGTTATCAACACTAAACATATTATTGTGTTGTTTACAGATACAAATCCGTGTACGTTACTTCAATGTGCTGATGGAACCGCGTGCGTTGTAAACCCTCAAGACGAGTGCAGTGCATCGTGTATCATCTGCCCGTTGTGCTACTCAGGCTACGCTTGTTCAATTTGTAATTTTCTTCTTATCATCGTTATTAATTGACATAATTGGGGTAGGTGCTGAGATAGGTGTTGGAACCAAGGCCAGGATCGAGGCCGGGCTATGGGCCGGACTGAGGTCGGATTTGAAACAGCATTCTGTGCCTGAGTTAGGGATGGGCTGGGATACTGGTCGGGTCTAGTATTAGGACTAATCGGGATCAGTCGAAAATTATAAAGGGGGATGTAGACAAAGTGAGAGTTAGAATCAAATTTGGGGCCATAGTCACTGTCGAGTCGGTAAATGAGAGCTGGTAATGGTTGCGCCTCATATCAGGGACGTGGTAAATATCTGGCCGTGGTTTCAGCCATAGCAGGGGTTGGGATCTAAGCCAGGTTATGCTAGGGTCAGAGTCAGAGTCGGGACATATGTGGAGGTCGAGACCGGAACCAATGTCTGGAACCGGAACACAGTAGGAGATAGTTCCAGGGTACGTACATCTAGATAACATACCTAACTAAACTATCAGTTATTAGCATCAGATTGATCTCAAGCAATTTCTATAAGTCTATTGAAATTAAATGTCAGCAACTTTAAAAAATAAAGCAATTAAAGCAGCATTCCAGAAAGGACCTAACTTAAAACATTACTGGAAATACATCTATCTTATGTGCTTTATTTCAATTTTTTCTATCCATAGACAACAATCCATGTAATGGCGTTTCTTGTTATAATGGTGGTACTTGTGTAGTTGATTTCTCAAACACTGAATGTGGATACACTTGTGATTGCATCCATGGATACAGTGGTACAAACTGTGAACAAAGTGAGAATAAAATTCATTTTAATTTGCATTCTTTAACATGTTAAACTATTAACATCCCTACTATTTGTTTTGTTGCTTTGTATTTACTTTCTAGTATACTCAACAATAAAAAAAATAAATAAATAAATAATCGTTTCAAAAAATTTTTTTTAAATAATTAGTTTTTAATCAAGCTTTTAAAACATTTGTTATTTGATTTTTGTATTAAAGCAGATGGCACTTTTCATACGGTATGGTTTGTCCAACTTTTAAAATAAGAAAAATTAAGATCTTAATTATAGGCCTGTTGCAGGGCCGTAATCTGTGTGTATATTACTGTATAAAAAAGGCACGAAATTTACATAATTACAATCACCAAGCATTAGGGTCTCCAAAGCTATGGGTGATGGCGACTATACTTTTTTATCATATCGGATTTTACTTATAGTAACCGACACCCCGTTCACCGTCTGCCTCTTATCTAGACCAAAAATCTGGTCTTAGCATGTTCTATGGGCCGGCACTGTTACGCTCTAGTAAGTAAAAACTTCCAGGGGTTTTGCACTCTGGAGCTGAGACAGCCTGTGAACGGAGTACTCGATTCGTTAACAAAAATTACCTCCCATAAATTGCCACCCATTTTTTGTTGAAGACGTTAGTGATTATTGTAAAATGTAAAAAAAAAATCACTCAACTTTTTTGCTATTGATTATGAATTGATGCTTGTGTCTAGTCTCAAATAAGCTCATGGTTTAAAATGCCATGGCAACAACTTTTGTGTAAGCCTAATTTATTTTTAATAACTACAGTAGGTAAATGATATGCTAAAGTTACCAAGGTTTTTGATTAGGTTCTGTGGAATGTATTATACTTGGGTTTAAATCTATTATAAAGTAATTTTATAGTGATTAGATTTTGCGATCTCCTGTATATACACATAGCTGCTGGGTAACATTTTTGATGCATCAGCACTTCAACAATTATTTTTGAATTCCTGATACTAGGAAAATTAAATATATTTTCCAACCAAATATATGTATATACATTTATTATATATATATATATAATATATATATATATAATATATACATATATATATAAAATATATGTATTTATAATAATATATAATATGCATATTGTAAATATAAATTCTTTTTTCATATACATATTTATTCATAGTAACTCAACATTATATATAATATCTGTCTCTTATACACATCTAGATGTGTATAAGAGACAGCATATGTGGAGAAGACAAGCCTATTGTGCCCCTACATTCTTGACTACGAGATCCGTGTTTTGCCAGTAAATTGGTCCTTTATAGTAAATGTTAGTAGTGCCACTTAAATTATTAATCACATGTTCCAAATTATGACTTTAAAATAAAAATATGTTATAAAAAAGTATCTTGCACATAGGTAGGCCTATGCCTATAGTGCGTTTGTGCAACATCAGTTTGTTTAATCGCAGTTGTGTTGCGCCTAAAAATATGACGTCAAAGTTTAATTTAATAATTACATTACACAATCTTAATTGTATCAATAAAATAACAGCTCATAAATAATTTGTATCAAATCGATCGATTATTTGTAACCTTGACCGCATTATTATATACATCGTTTACTAAGTGTAGGGCTATGCCGTTTTCCGGATGTGGTTCCAAATACCAGTAAATTCGTGGTTTGAGGCAGATATTTTATTCCAGTTGTCTTATTTAATTAAAGAAGACCGTGGTCTCATGAGGATATACTTTTAAATCTTTTTGAATTGATATGCTTTGAGATCCAAAAAAAAAACAACAACTTAGGATCCGTTATTGAATTTTAATTACATCCGTTGTGAGGGTACACGCCTCCGGATATACGATACTTCATAGCAATTATCATTATCATCATTATTATAATTATTGTAAATATCATTATTGTCATTATTTCATTATTACTATATTCATTATCATCCTGTATTCATCATCATAATAATAATAATAATAGTATTATTATTATTATTATTATTATTATTATTATTATTATTATTATTATTATTATTATTGTCATTATTTTATTATTACTATATTCATTATCATCCTGTATTCATCATCATCCTTATTTATCAAAATTATCAACAACATCATCATTATCATAACATTACCATCATCATTATGAATTCAATTACACTATCGTTTATTTATATAGGCATATATATATAATATACAGTACATATATATATATATATATATATATATATATATATATATATTTTCATCAGAGTAGTGACCCACTCAACACAAATCTGACATAAAAATAATTTATTAAAATAATATATAAATCGCAAACTCTAGGTAGTGCATTTTTTCTTGGTTTTTTTTTTCTCACTAAACGTATAATAGATACGCGAAAATATGCGATGGACTGGTATTAGCAGACACATCCGTTAGTCGGAACTGAACTAGTTATTCAATAAAAATGATGATCCAATATAGTATTTTGATCAGAATATCCGGACCGTATAATACTAGACAAACGCCTCCGGATATAAGAAAGCATGTAAATATATTTTCACAACATCAACTGTCATTATACAATAATAATCATCATCATCTTTATTTTAACAAAAATATATCTATGCCCTTTATCACAATTATTATCTAGCAAAACTATCATCACTATCAATATAATCATTAATTGTTACCATTATCGTCATCATCATTCCTATTACCGTCTACATCAACACACCGTTGTTCCTCATAATTTAACATATAGCCGGGCCTAAATCTAAAACTAAGAATAGACTTATGTTAGTGAATAAGTACTTAGGTAAATATAGAATATGTTATTAATTATTTTCAACTTTAGGTCTATCACTAGTGACCATTAGGCATATTGTTTTTTACTTGGGATTTTCTCTCAGCATACCCAAAATACGTTAATAGGATGGTGTTGTATTTGGAGACACATAAAATCGTCGGAACTGGTATTCAATGAAACGACTTGGTTTTGGTATTTACCAATAACTATATATTGGTTGATTATTAAGATTATTGTTTCGATAGTTATAATAATAATTATAATGTATTATCTTCTTTCGACGTTAAAGTCTAATTATCATTTTACGAGTCTGTGTGTTTCTTTGATTTTACCAACCATAGAAAGAATATATCACCGTGTGCTTAAAAACTTAAAATTGCGGCCACTGCCACCACAGATACCTCAACAGATAATTTTTTTCGTAGACATAGCGTTGCTATGGTTATAATTTACAAAACATAGAAACAGCTTATTGCCATAGGCCTATTTAATAACTGGAGTAGTGATGTCACTACGTCTGGGTTACCAAGAACAGATTAGTAATGGCTTAAGAAGTATAATAAATTCACCCCCTCCAAGTCTAACATTCCAAGTAGAATATTCCAAAAATCAGTATATTGAGGGCATTGCATTTACTAGTGTTCGGTTTATTCACGGCAAGGACATATATAAGTGTTTAAAACGATTGTATCTAAGAACGAATAAACTATATCAAGTACTCACAGGGAGTGATAAGTGGGTTTAAGATATTAGAGCCGATTAGCCTTAGTTTAAACAAACGTATGTAGACCTATATAAATACAGTAATGAGCTGTTACAACATGTATATTATTGGATCTAACTTATAGAGAACTACCATGGAGCTCCAGATTTTATTAATGATTTTAGGTGTATTAAATTTTGCAATCGCTGGTAAGATGCAGTTTTTTAAGTAATTTATTTTTGTTTCAAAATTATTATTATTATTATTATTATTATTATTATTATTATTATTATTATTATTATTACTATTATTATTATTATTATTATTTTTATTATTTATTATTATTATTGTTATTATTATTATTATAAGTATAATTATTATTATTTATTATTATTAATTTTATTATTAATATTACTATTATTACTACTATTAATTCTGTTGTAGTGATAATAGTAGGCCTACTAGCAGTTGTATCGCAGTAGTCAGATATGATGCTATTTGTATAATCTATTTCCTCCTACCATCGGTGTACTTCATGCAATTAAACGTGTGTATGTTACACAATTTATTTCAGTACAGTATTAAAAAAAATGTATTTTTTTAATATTTTGCAGGCTATATACCGATTGGTGATCCTTGCTTAAACCATCGTTGTAGTGAGAACAGCGAATGCGTACCCAATACATGGGGTACTGGCTACTACTGTCAATGTAATGACTTATGCTATAGCGGGCCGTACTGTTCTACATGTAAGAAGAGCACAGGACGTTTGCTCGAAATATTCTATCTAATTAATTTGATAATAATGATCACCACTGTTATTATTATCATCATCATAAACATCACCATTATCGTTCTATCGTCATTATTTTCAATATTATTATCATCATCATCATGGTGAAACTTTCACCATGATATCTAAGACTACAATATTATCACAATACTTCTGTCATCATCATCATCATCATCATCATCATCATCATCATCATCATCATCATCATCATCATCATCATCATCACCATCATCATCATCATCATCATCATCATTATTATCATTAATTTTTTATATGTAGTTTGCAACAGAAAATTTGATAAGAATGGTGTTTTACCCTATTTGGGACGTGCTTAGCATCCAGTACTATAACACGTTAGGTAGGGCAAAGCAACATTCCTATTATTGTCATTATCTTCATCATTAACTTCATAATCATTAATTTTGTGATGCTGATTGTTCTTATCATCACAACTGCCTTTAGATACATGTTGTAATCATAAGCATCTTATTGTCATAATATGTGTTTGTTTTCTGTCTTAATTCTAGATACAAATCCATGTTCTAATGTAGTGTGTGAAAATAATGGACATTGCCTTGCTGAGGGTTGTGAATATTGGTGCAAATGTCCAAAATGTTTCACCGGAAACACCTGCCAAACATGTAAGAAAGCCTAAAATTTAACAATATGTTTTTTAAAAATGTACCGGTATTATTTTGTATTTATTGTACGTTAAGAATGAGAAAGTGGTTACAATAAACTAACAAATAGCATTTATTAAAACTTTTATGAATGTTGAATGTTTAGTTTTTGTGTGCCACATGTCATTATGTGTGTACTTTCATATTTTCGTTTGAGTCCTTCCGATGATGTAAT